TGTGAAGTCCTCCCTGATAATGATAGGATATTTTAATTTAATTAGACTGGGAAATAAGAGCACAGAGCCCCCGAAGGAAATGGACTCTAACAGAGTGCCATGTCGGGCCACTTGTTTTTACATCATGAAAGCTTACAGCTACAGGCACTGACAGCTTGGTCTAAATTAATGAAGTGGCAAGACAAGCAGATCAAGGAAAAAGAGCACCAGTAGGGCAACAATGGATGTGTGGCTTGCAGCACTTGAGCTAAAACTGAATGTATGATAACCACGTGTGCTCAGAAGCCAACACCATAGCCCTGGACATCGCCTATGAGAGTTTAAATTCTGGGCTTGTGTGTGTGTGGGACCAGTTTCTTCACCTCTCCTTTGCTCTACTTATGTCCATAAGAAATTACTCTTTGACCAGCACCCCACACTCTGGAGTTTTACAGAAGAACACAGAATCWGGGCAAAATCACCCATGGATATTTTACAGGAAAGAATCAGGATTCTGAGTGCAGTGTGGCTCTGTTAAAAGTTCAATTCAATTTTTTTTCCAYTTAGGGCAAGTGCCGAAGCAGCACCAGGTACTCTGCTCAGACAGGACAGTGGGAAGACGTGTGCAGCTGCTGCACAGCCACTCAGAGCACCATGGTGACGATCCCGCTGCGGTGTCCCAAYGGGACGGTGGTGCAGCATTACATCGCCTCCGCCTCGCTGTGCGAATGCCGGGCTCGGAAGTGCACRCAGTGAACATTGCCAAGAAGCCCAGTTGCTTAATCTGAAGCTTTATGATGAAGGAACTTCACAATGCAAGCTTCATTTTCTCTGCCTTACCCATTAAAACCGTGAATAACTAATTGTATCAACACAACAAGCAATAAAGATTACTAGTGCAACAGAACATAGSCTGGTTCATCTTGGGGTGGATTGTAGAAGAAAGATTTCAGGTTGTATCGATCCCCTTCATTTCACCATGGAAATTAATCCACATTATTAAAAAAAAAAAAACAACCCAAGTAAATAATGCCCGGAAACAGTTGCTTATGATTAAAGAACATATTCAAAATAATTTAGTATTGTCTTCAGAGACATTACACTTTCATTTCCCACTTTAGTCCTTACTGACACATAGTGGAATTTTAGTTTTTTGCTCTTTTTTCTTTCCTTCTCTTCAGGAAGTACAGTAATGACGGGATAAGGCTTCAGAGTAAGAATGGAATGTTCCTGGTGCACAAACAATACTGGTTATGGCTCAGATAATCAAATATCTTTCTGCAATGCATATATTCTCCTGAACCTGAATGCAAAGRAATTGTGTGTTGAGGACAGGCTGTGTAAATTCTACAAATCCTCAGTACTTGTGTACAGGATTAAGGGCAGCTCTTATTTACTTTAGCCCTTCCCCAGGGCAACTTGAGGAGAAAGCTCAGTGGTTATCTCCCTTATTTCCAGGTCSCAGAACTTCACCTATTGCATTCATTCCAAAAGTTGGAATTCATTTAAATGCAGAATTTGCAGTGGCAGATTTAATTTAGTTACTGCTGCCAGGCATMAATTTACCAGGATTTAAATTTTACTTTGGTCAGGCCATGGATCAAGAGAGTGTTGTTGGTCCTGGAGGAATCTCATGTCAGTGAAGTGGTTTCATTCTGAAGTACAAATTTCTCAAAAATAGGAGAGAGGGAGGACTGTTATTTCCATCTGCATTTTTGAAAGACAAGAATTATTTAAGCTTCTCATTTAAATAACAATTTTTAAATAATGAAAGGCACTCYGACATGATTTAATGGGTCAAAACAATTCCACATCTGCATGGAAGGCTCCCTTTGGGAACACACGAAAACTCCTGTGCTTTCAWGTAAAAAGGTAAGTTGTATTCCCTTTTTAGAGGAAACAGGCAGATCCCTGCTGCCTCTCTTTTGCCATTCAGCTCTGGATTCAACAYACATTGAATTATAAGCCCTTTTTGTTTTTATTATTGTCTTTCAAAACATCCTTCATTGCTGTGCAGTGCTAGAAGTGCAGGCCTTCTATCCAGCTCTCTCTTCTGCTATAGGGCCACAATAATAGACAGAAATCCAGTTTTAATTGGCACCCACTTTTAATTGGCACCAGCCCCACTTGCTGCAGTTGATCTGCCACCAGTTTACCTCCATCCTCACACCAGWTCCTTTCTGTGCCTGCCTTTGGATGTTAAGTTCCTTGCCAGATGGGAACCAGGTAATCAACTGCACAGCAGTTCATCTGAAGCTGCAGATGTGCAGCTCCTGGAATAGTAACCTGCACCATCAGAGCGGAGCAGAGAGAAGGAATGGATAGGAGTAGTAAAAGACAAATGTCATCCACTTAGCATGGCTGGGATATCTCTTTGTTTCCATCTGTGCCGTCACCCAGACTGACCCTTCTTAGCTCATGAAAGCTGACAGGATTGTAGCCTAAGGCTGCATGGCTGCAGACAGGTCTTCTAATTAGATAATTAATTATGTGAGTCAGGCACTGGCTTATCAGTACAATGCAGCCCATGAGAATGTACTGGTTTCACCTTGAGCAGGGAATTGTGGGGACTTTGGTGTGTTKTTACTCAGGCCTGCCTACTACCTCTGTATTCTGTGTCCCTGTCGAGTGAGTGGCCAGAAGGATCTTCCTTGAAAATCCTGTTATAGAAACAGAGTGGAACAAAAGAAAAAGCAGAAGGGAATGTCATGACATCTCCTTTAACAGGCTGAGGAGGTAAATATATTTTTCACCTTGACTTGCTGGCATGAGAATTGAACTTTTTCAGGCAGCCATCCCCAAAAGAGGTGTCTTTTGCCTAAGGATCCAGTGGGCTTGGACCTGCTCCATGCAAGTTTCATTGTCTTTCACACAGACAGTGCAATTCCAATTCTTTCTGAAGCATTCCTCCCTGGCAGAAGTGTGGAGGACAGTCTTGCCCACAATCAAATGTGCCAGCACATCAAGCAGTGCTGTGCATCTGCCTGCTCCATTGACATTGTCCAGCAGAAGCCAGGCTTTCAGGAATATTGTTCATCAAGGCATACATACATTTTGTCTGYGTGGTTTTGAACCCCTTGATGGGTTTGAACCAGCCTGGAATTTTACCTTTCCACCAATCATTAGGAGCATACCCCACCACTTCAGAACACCAGCTGGATCATTGAGTATGCCACAGGATAGATTTACAGGAATGCTAAATGGATTTTGGGAGGTGTCTTATATAACTTCTTAATAATTAAAAGCATCTAATCTCTCTGCTAACTTTTACAGACTTGCAAGAACCACTCCTCTACAGCAGGTGAAACACGATCAGGTATATTGGTATTATTTATCACAGCCTTGTATTATCAATTAACATCATACCCAGGTACCTCAGGAAAGACAGTGATGCCAAGATATGATTTTCTCCATTAGAAAGYCTTAAAAATAGTCTGCTTYCATTCTAAGCAGCTGGATATGGCTYCCTCTCATATTGCATGCTGTGTATATTATTTATTACCTGAGCTAAGTGTATTACCTGCAACACACCCACCCTTATGGCTTATAGGACTGGTAATTGGAACCTGTGCCGGCAGAGCCGTAAGTCCACAGGGATCCCAGCAGGACCTGGCTCTACATTCCTGTGCTATTTCAGATTAATGGATATGACATTCTGGTTTTGAGCTTAGTTGGAGCAGCATAGATTGTGGATGTAAAATAGCAAAAATTTCAGAAAGCTTTCATTTCCCTTTCCCTGAAATAAATATAAAAAGCAGGAAAATTGTTCTCTAGGAAACAGATTAATTGTTTTTAAAACTTTTGAAAAGAAGTTCTGAAAGTAACATAAGATATTAGCAGGGTAAAAACAAAGTATKTGATACCTGTTCATCCATTGGTTAGAAGTTAAGAAAAGCCATTTCAAAGTAGCAACCAAGAAGAATGGGGTGATTTAATGAATTTAAAGGCCCATTTATATTTCTTAGTCTTGCTGGGAAAATATTACATCACCCAGACCAAGTTTTGTGACACAACAGCTGCCCTGCTCCCTTTATTTACTCAGCAGGTTTGATAGCACACCCACAGTKCATCAGCACGTCTCTCTATGACAAAGACAACTTCTACTCTTGCCAGTCGTGACACCATGCACTGTCCTGATTCACAAGATGGCAGAACCACTTGACTTTATTCAGGCATTGAATAAATCCATTTCTCCCTGTCTCACTAGAGAAACCATGMCAGTGTCACAAATAGATTAAAAGAAGGAAAAGATTTGGACTCAAATTAGTTATATCTCCTTCTAATTTTCATTAGCAAATAGAAGTCATTTATCAGGTAGGTTTGCTCATCAACAACTTTTCTTCTTTATATATTGCTTAAATTGCAGGGTTGAAGGCTAAGCAGGATCCATCACCTGTTCTGATTAGACAGTTGATTACAAGATAATCSCCTGAATATTTCATGCAGGAATGACAGTGCTGCATTCAGGCACTGAGGTAACTTGACCACTTGAAACAGAGCCTTGCAAAAAGCTTTCTGCACTTCCTCCTACCTGGGAACACTGTGAAACTGTGTAGATATAAAGACACTTCCMCACAGAAACCACTTCCAAGACAATCTGATCCTCGCATGCTGGTTCTTTGGACAGAGCTGGCTCTGCTGTAGAGCCCTGGTTCTGCACTGGCCTTTTCCCTTCATCTCCACTGCCTTCTGGACAAAATATGCCTATTGTTAYCTTGCTTCTCGAGGCGTTATGGAGCATGAAGACAAGGTGCTGAGGTTCCAGCAGAGAATTGCCATGGCCTCTCAGTTCACGGGAGTTTGGTTTTTTTCCCTCTCTTCCCGCCATGATGGTAATCGCCAAACCAGAAGGTCTCATTAATTAGCTTCGGTGTGTGCTTTGCTTAAAGTAGGATCAAGGCAGGATGGAAATAGCTGCTGGTGCTGTTCCCTCCTTAAGCCAGTGCAGAAGCAGATTGTGCACAGCAYAGCCACATCCTATTTTAGCACTGACGCAACTTCCAGCCAAACCTACAGGCAACATGGAAACACACATGCCCGGTAAGTTTATTCTCTGCTTCATTCTTGATTGCTACCTATGAAGTGGGATAGGCCTTAAGGGGATGRAGAACAGAGAAAGGAATACTTTGGAAGGACTTCTCTGTCTTCGTTAAGGACATTAAAAAAAAAAAAAATCTGTGGCCCAGTTTACATACAGAGAGTTCAGAGACAAAACGTGCAGAGTTCACTCCTCTTGAASCCTCAGGAGTGCAGCTGTGGGTCAGTATTGTGATCCATGTGGAAAACACAATCACCAGGCAAATGCCTTGTGCTGGGCTTCTGCTGTTTCCACCTGCATTTGCCTTATTGCAATGCAACTGTGGGGAGGGAGCAATATCCTTTTCCAGAAGAAAATGTGCAGCCTTGACCTCTCAATTCCCACACATCAGGAGCAAATCTGCTCAGTGCATAAAACCTTTATGTTTGGGTTCCTAGTACACAACTTTAGTATAATTTTTAGTGCTGATATTGGGTTGCTGTTATATTGCTGTCACGGTCTCAAGCTCTGTGTTTTTTTTACTGCATTGTCTCATTGTTTCTGGGGCTGTATCTCTGCTGTGAGCTCCAAACCCCTTATTTGAATAATAGAAGGATAGAATTTGACTATTCTTCTTTCTTTCTTTAGAATGGCTCAAGAATTATTGAGGTGTTTAGTCCAGTGCTGCTTAACTGCTTCTATTAAAATCAGTTCCATGACCAAGTATTTCTTCTCTAATCATATCATGGCGATGGAAAGGCAGAGGGAATCAGTGTTATGTATGGCCAAATCTAAGGGAATGTAGCTGAGATACTGAGTCCTACCCAAGAGATTCTCCTGCTGGGTGTCTTGGAGGCTCAGGACATTTCAAWCTGGATGTTGGAATAGGATTCAGACAGGCAGATGCATGCAGGCTCTCCAAGGCATTAGTCAGGATTTGTGGCTTTGCCCTTGGCACCTGCAGTCTGAGAGGTACTGTGTGAGCATGAACACACAGGTTGCAAATTAGATGGCATTGGAGGCACCCAAACAGCATTGTCTGTCTCTAATTCCTATCATTCTTTAAAAGGCACTAAAATAGTAGTTTTGAAGACATAGTGGAGAAAGCCATACTTTGCTGTAGTTGTGCCAAGTTTGGTGGAGATATGCGTAAGAAATAATTTTGGCATGAACTGAGCATCTTCATCAACATTGTAAGACTGTAACTATAACTTTACAGACTCTCTTCCTGTCGGGTTTTTGGTTTTTTGTTCTTTGTTTTTTGTTTTTTTAAAGTTTTTTTTAAAATTTGTTTTTAAAATTCTACTCTACATATAAAAATTACAAAAAGCACCTGATTTTTCTGACATAGGCTTATATCAGGATTAACTAACAGTGAAGGACCTGAGATAGAAAAAGGGCACTAGAAGAACTCAACGAAGATAGATCTGTAGGAGACATTAAATCTAGTGCAGCGACATTAAATCTTGCACACTGTGGTCCACTATACAAATAATTGTAAGTAGGGGGCTGCATGGGAGAACACATGGGAAACAGCAGGATTTGGTGAATTGTGTGATACTTTGGAGCCCCCTATATTGAAATCAGCGACTCTAGATGTGCATATTCAGAGCTGAGAAATCATTATTTACTGGGGACCTAAAGAGCACATGTATAACCACGCTACATCTTTAGATAGGTGTATGTTCTTTGAAAAACATATGTTTGAGTAAAGCYATGTAGAAAAAGTAAATTGAAGTAAATTATCTTCATATCTGCTTGGGGGGGTGGAGTTTGCTAAACAATGCTCTTAAATTGCAGATGTTTTGAACAGCCTTGCAGAACAGCATCCTTCTAACTGTGGTGTCTTCCTGAAATGCAGATCCTTTCTGAAACTTAAGTGGGAGGAGAGAAAGATAAATGAAAGCCGTTCAYTGTCTGTGCCTTAGGTGGCCAAACCACTTGCAGCACATACTGCAAGTAGTTGTGCTGTGTTAATCTGATCATCTGGCACACTCAGCTCAGTTAATTGGCTGTTACTCAGGATTTAATACAGAGCTCCTAATTAGGCAGACTCTTTACTGTCTCTTTCACAAGCRGTGTGGTCCTTTAGCACACACTCTCAGTTTTTTCACTTTTGGCAGTCGGTGCAACTTCATGGTGGCACTTTAGACAAGGACCTGGAAACACAAATGGTGAGGTCAGTTGCTGCACATGTGGCCAGCCTGCAAGTCTGCAAAATGCTGAAGCAAAGGAGTGCAGAGAGGCTGAGTGAGCAGGTGGTGACTGGCTGTGAATTGGCACTGGAGCTGGCCACTGAYCTCTGTCCTGGAGATATCTTGTCCTTGGAAGTCGTTTACAACTTTATGAAGCTTTACTGGAGGGGTGGCTCCCCAGTTATTTTTTGTAGAATGAGTGTAGTTCTTGAACATTTTCTTTTCAAGTTGAATTCAAGATTCAGTGTACTGCTCTTCCCAGGGGATACATATATATATGTATATATACATATATACATATAMACCAAAGCTATGCATGTGTGCATATATAAATTTTTTTATATTTTCACATACACACACAGATGCAGCTGGTTTCTATCCATACTAATTCCTCCAGAATATTTACAGAATGAAAGCATGTAAGGCCAGATGTCATAAAGGCTTACAGGGTGGAATGAGGTCAGGCAGCATCTGAAGTAGAAGCCCCTGAGGCACTGCAGTACCAMAGGCAAGCAGTCTCATATGTGGAATGCATTCAAAACAGAACATTTTGGTTCAATCAGTCTAATTCGGGAAGATGAAATGCTTTTGGAAGAGCAGGAGTCTTCCAAATACAGATATGCCAATTGAATTTCCATCAAAACAGTTATTTTGACTGGAAGTCCCTGACTGCCTCACCAGTTTACCAGTTGTTAGTCTCAGGTCCGTGACACAGTTTTTGGAGGTTGGGAAGAATAATGGAAATGAAATCATGATGTTATAAATGAACCGCAGTTTTTTTCCTAGGCCTAGTTAAAAGGACTGGAAAGAAGAGAGGTCTTTAATTGACTGCGTAAAGGTCTTGTGAGATATCCCAGACTTAGTCAGAAAATACCAGAGAAACATTGTGTGTGGCCTTTGGGAATGAAACCTTCACTTATTAATTATTTTCCTTGGGGTTTCCCTCGTGGCATCATTATGAGCTTCATTAAAGTAAACCAAGCATGAGTTTGCTCAGGAGATCAGGCAGGGAAGACTGGTSAGTCAGTCTGCTGGACTGTTCAAATGCTGCTGGACCCCAATCTGTTATTGATAGGAAACATAAGAATAATCGTAACATTTAGGGATCAGCCCCYTTCTTCCAAGCATTTCCTTCTTTAGCGTTCCACTGTGTCCTTTCTCAGAATATGGTGGTGGGGTAGCTATTTCAGGGGATAGAAGRGGCTCAGCTAAGTAAGGGGGAAATACAGCTCCCAGACTTTAGCAGTACACTATGGATGTGATGTCTCTCTGGATAGGTGGGAACTGTTGTTTCTTCTTTCTGGAGAAAAGTCCTGACTGGGCAGGGGCAGGGGCAGTGGTGCTTTGTGTGTCTAGTGGTGATGGTAGTGACTATGTGGGCAGATGTGTGCAGGATTTCTTCTCCTGGGTACAAAACATGAACACTGGAAGGAACAAAACATAGTTTTTCCCTCAAAGTAAGAGCTTTTCCAGGAAAGTATGAGTATGGCTCAGTCAACCCCATTTCAGCCGTGGCACCACTAGAGGGGGAAAGAGTATGAAACATTTGTAGGTTGAAACACTTTCTGTACCCATTGGTTTTTATCAGCATTTTTCACTGTGCTACTGCCTGTATGGAATTGATCTCTTGGAGCGAGTACAGAGCAGGGACAGCGAGGGGATCAGAGGGATGGAGCAGCTCTGCTGGGAGGAAAGGCTGAGAGAGTTGGGATTGTTCRCCTGGAGAAGAGAAGGCTTTRGGGTGACCYCACTGTGGCTTTGCAGTGCCTGAAGGGAGCCCACAGGAAAGATGGAGAGAGACTCTTGATAAGGGCCTGGAGTGACAGGACAAGGGAAATGGCTTCACACTGACAGAGAGCAGGKTTRGATTGGATATTGKGAAGAAATTSTTCCCTGTGAGGGTTGTGAGGTCCTGGCACAGGTTGCCCAGAGMAGCTGTGGCTGCCCCATCCCTGGCAGTGTCCTAGGCCAGGTTGGATGGGGCTCTGAGCACCCTGGGATARTGGAAGGTGYCCCTGTCCATGGCAGGGAGTTGGAACAAGATGATCTTTCAAGTCCCTTCCAGCCCAGGATATTTTGTGATTCTGTGAAGATTTCYACCCAGACCCTCTGTTATGCTGCACTGTGATCATGTAATTTGTCAAACATAAGAAAGGGGGAACATGTCTAAAAGTTCCAAACATTAGTCCCTGRGACCAGAACATGTAGGTATAAACTTAAATGTACTTAGTGAGCATTTCACATGGGTAAAGAGTTCTTCATGCAGAATGACCATGATCCACAAGTTTGTACCTGTACCTGATATCACTGAATCTGTTCACATCACTAGAATTGGATAATGTCTACTGCTGCACAAAACCTGCTTTATGTAACATGCACTTATCTGTCCTTCTCAGACTTTGCTCTGCCCTCCTCACACCAAACGCTGAATGGACAGAAGATGGCAAAATCGGCAAGGGACTCTTTTTCAGCCTACAACAGCAAGTACCTCACTGTTCCTCACAACCGTACTTCCTGGCATAGCAGTGGGACCAATGAAGTGCTTGAAGCATCAGTGGTGTCCCACAGGAGTTCTGTAAGTAGGATTTCATGTGTATTGATCTACTTCGAATGCCTTTGGGATGAGGAGGAGGCTTGAAGYAGGGTAAGAAAAGCAGGGTGTGCTCCTCCTGTGTGTTGATTAAATCCACACAGAACTGGGAGAAGTATCCTTTAYAAGGAAATCGTTTTGCAGCCTCAGGAGGTTTAGCAGTCTCTCTGTGTACAGCAAGAATAAATTTCTACTGTAGCAATCCCATCAAACTTTTCTTAATTGTTTATTTTAACCAAAATCCTTCAGAGCAGGAATGGAGGAGTTACTCTTACCCCTAGTGTCAGAAAAGATCTGYAGGCTGGTGACTCAATCAGGTGCGCCTGTGCAAACCTTGAGCCAGMTGTGCTCAGGTAATAGTGGGAGCTGGATTGGATTGATTCCCAGTGGAAGTGCGGTATGGCTGTTGTGTTCAGAGGAGAGCTGTCATTAGAGGAGGCACCTTTTGGGATGTATTTGTCATGATGTATTTGCTATCAGACTACTGGAATAAAATCATCATGAAATGCTGTTCCTACCTTCCCATTTTCTTATTCCTTGGTATGATGGCTTCTTGTTTTGGAAACTTCAAGAGGCAATGAAAGCAGGACCAAAGCTGACAGTTGAAATCACTGTTTCTGACTTCTACAGTGGCCGTGAGAGGGGGGGAAAGAAAGATCTGGATAAGTCCTTCAGTGGCATTTTTGAAATTATGACTTCTTGTGTTCCTCCCTAAAAAAAGTCTTCCTGTGCCACAATGTCACATGGTAAGGGAAACAGTGCAAATTTAGGAGCAGGAAATAMCTTTACTGATTTTTTTTTAAATTTTGATTAATTTTTCTGTGCATTAGACACCCTAATTGCGGGGATGGCACCCCTGTGCCAAGAGTGAGTAAAAGAGACAACGGAGAGGGAGGCAGAGGAGCTGTTGAATCTCCTCATCCCCTGTGTAACTCCAGCAACACCAAGTGTTGCTATGGTGCTCTCTCAGGTGRCTGGGATGTGGCAGGTGGCTGCATACAGTAGTAAACAGGAAAACCACAGAGTGACTTTTCACATTCTCCAGCCTCCTTGCTCCCTCTCCCACATTTTGTTTGTGCTTCTTGTTTCTGCCCACACTCTCCAGTAAGGGAGGAGAGGATGCTCAGAGCTCATCTTCTCTAGAGCCAGCTAATGCATTGYCTTGTGCCAGTGACCTGGTGGTGGTGACATCATTTCTTCTGTGCTGTATTGCCTGAAACTCTCTGGGAGGGACACCAAAATTTTTCCTCACTGGKGTAGAGATGGATCCGGGAGGTTTACATGGACTGCCTGTGAGTACCACATGAGAATGTATCTAATCAGGAAATGGGTCATTGCAATAAAATGCAGCTTCACAAGCAGTTTTATATTCTGCCAGGGCATAGTGCTGAGTGTAAGTTTGGATGTGCCTGAAGGGGMTGTATATATACATTACACATAAAGAATGTGATAAGTATAATGTGCAGAACAGGTTATTCAGTGATAATTTTGTGAAAGAATAAAGGATGTAGCATGCATGCAAACCTGARATTAATTTAGTGATATGACAACTGAAAGCCTCTTTGTGGGAAACAAAGTGAAACAAAGCAATGGAAAACAAGAATCTGGAAGGTGTTGATTATATAATAATATGCACATTTGTATAATGCCTTCAAAACTTGTGTTGTGTTAACAGACAAGGAACTGCCATAAAGTAAGTGGTTAACCTTGCGTTCGGGATTAGTAGCATATGTAAAGAAGGGGAGGAAGAGAGAGAAAGAAACCCATGACTGGTACCTGTCAGGTACCAGTATGATCACCTATGGGAACCATAAATGGCTGGAATTAGGTTATGGGATGATTGCTTTGKATCAGCTTGACCCTTGTTTTTGTCTTGTTGCCCTGTCACTGGAAGGCTGTTATTCCAGTGAATAACGCTATAAAGAGCTCTGTGAAGGGCTTTACACTGCAGCATTGTGCTGAAAACGGTGGCTGGTAGCAATCTGGAAAACTAATGGGCAGCCTTACTGAGTGGGAAGTGCAAGTGAGTGCCTTGGTTCCAGAGTTGCACATTGATACTGCAGAATTCCCATCCTGGCCGGGGAGTGATGGCAGGATTAATGTTGGAGCTGCAACTCAGAAAGGTTCTGAGAGGGAGATGATGAAGAAGGGATGGTCTTGAGGGGCTGACAGAGTGCAACATGGGTGGTTTGAATTATTTTTGCCATTGATTTCCTTTTGCAGTGTTGGTGGTCAGTCAAACAGACTTTTCACGATATGTTAAAATACAAGCTAGCACTGTCAGCCATTCTTGGGACATATCCTTTCTAATCCCTGCTACCTTCCAAAGTGTTTCTGTCCAGCCGCGTTTTCTGGAGCTTAAACTACATTGAAGATATTTCTCCTGCTCTGACTAMGATAGCTTTCTTCCATCCCAACACAGTTATTGGTTCCCTTCCCTGCCCTGCTTTTCTCCACAGCACACGGCGCACGGCCTGTGATGTGATCCTTACTCTCACTTCTCCGTCCTCTTTCAAAATGTGCATGTGCATGTGCAGAACAGTGGTAGGGCTGTGTGTTCCTCTGTACCGGCCCTTCTATAGGGACCCCATGTGTTGTGATAAGGTGCTATCTTCAGCCATTTGATAATGGTCAGGGGGGAATGAAGCGAGACTGGTGTGCACAGCAAATGTTTGGAGGTCACGCCTGGATTCTTTGCGGCTTCACGTGCTCCTCTGGAGATAGCCTCCCCCACTTATTTGGGCTTTTTGTCTTTCTTGTCCGTGCCACTCCTGTGYTTCTCTCGCAGATTATCAACAACTACGTGGACGGAGCCCAGGGAGATGCCCGGGACACGGCCTCCCCGAGCGGCCTGCACTTCAGGGACARCAAGAGGAAGGTTGACTATGTCCTGGCCTACCACTACCGCCGACGCCTGGCCCGGCACACGCCCGGGGCGGCCTCTCCAGAGCCGGTGCRCAGATCCGCCTCCGTGGCCCTGGTTTCCAACGGAGGCACCGGGAATGGCCGTGCCGAGCCCCGGCAGCAGCAGCAGCAGGACGATGGCCAGCGTGCTCTGCATGAGGGGCCGGGGCTGCCGGGGCTGCCGGAGGGGGAGCTCAGCCCGCTGGACGCCCTGGAGGAGGAGAAGCGGCTGCAGCGGGAGGAGTACGAACAAAACCTGCTGGAAGCGGGGCTGGAGATTGAGAAAGACCCTGAGGTAAGAGGGGGAGACTTGCACCTCACACATGGCATCGGATGCTCCAGTGGATAATGGCCTCTTTGAATGCCCAAAATGTGGTGTGAAGTTAAGAAGGTGGCCATGATGTGTTTTTGTTGCTTGGTTTTTGCTGCCTGAGAAAGATGTGGTTGTTGTTGTTTAATGTAGTGCTGAGTAGCAATTTCAATCTTATTTCAGGTGAAAACGTATTTCTTTATCTAAATGTTCTTATGACATGYAGCAAACACACTTTTCTTACAAAAAAAAAATTAAATATTGCTAAAATGAAGGAAGTATCTCTTAAGTAATTTGCTGGAACATTGCTAAGATATTTCACATTTCCTCATAATATCTTCAGTGGGACTCTGCTTTCTTCTCAACCATATGTAAGTTTTGTGTCCTTTCTTCATTCSACCCATGGAATGAACAGCTCCTGTGCTGTGACAGGAGAAGCTCCCAGCCTGTGATGTTTTTAGTCTCCCTCGTGTGTGATGTTGGAATGATGTTGTGGTCTCATCAGCTGGGAGCTGTGGTTATTTCACTTGGCTTTTGCCAGTCACTCAGGTGAGCACAGGTCTCCCAAATCCTTCGTTGTTGCACTAGCTCTGTGCTATCCCTCTGTGCCTCTTCAAAAGCCATGGATATTTACATCCAATGAAGGAAAGTCCTTGYGGGTTTCTGGTTTTAGGTTCTCTCTTGTTTTTGACACCAAATTTGAGMGATTTAGAGGTTCTTCTCGTACTTGAGAAGAGCTTGCAGCTTGTGCTGCTTCCAGTGCAATCAGTCAACCATTACAACACACGGTGCAAATCACAGATTGAATCTGAAAATTCGGGTCTGACTGGCTGGGCGTAGTTATGCATGTTAAATCACTGGCAGGGATAGAAAGAAATAGAAAAGTCATTTGACTCTTAACATTTTCCTTGCCTTATTTGCTGAGTTGCAGGTGGCTCTGGGTTATATTTCACTGCGCAGCCTGGCTGAGCCATCCTTGTAATGAACAGAAAAAAGTGATCTCAGATCATGATTCTTTTATGCTGCGCACTGGGGTTATGGTTCAGTACATGACTGTCTTACTGCTATGATTTTTATAACAAAATTGCATAAAAATTATGAGAACGGCTGTTTTTGGAGACTTCTTTCAGTTCTGAATTTCATCAGAACCCAAAAAGTCTAGCAGGAGATTTGGATTTGATTATTTGACTCATTACTTACCAGAAGTCCAGCTGGATRCAAATTCTGTTTTGGCCTCCTTCCAGGTGATGACATATGCTCTTAAATAATACACAAAGTGATAAATGATGTCATAAAGTGTTGATCAAAAAAACCCTTTTTTTCACAGTCTTCATTATGAAGAGGAAAAAGCTTTTTGTAAATGAACTGGGAAGTTYTCAGGAAATTGTTGATTAGTTCTTTTATGGGAAAAATGAATTGATTTTGAAAATTACAAAAAATGCTATTCCATCACTTTTCTCTCTGTGTRCACAGCCAGTCCTGTCTCCCACCCCTCCTCCCATCCTGCCCCAACACACAAGCTGTATAATCAAAAGGGGAAAGTGTTTTTCCTTCCTGAATCTCCTGAGAAACTGGATGGGACTGGAAAGATCATGCATTATCCTTTTTCTTCCGTGCACATGACCTGTGTCTTTTACTTCCTTTTTTTCTTCTCACTTCACTGATTTTTTCTTCTGTTAGTTAACTCCTGTTGGGACATGTTGAAGGTTCTGCCTGTTTTCTTGCTGTGAATTTTGTAGAAAATGCTGARTAGGCACATATGAAAGGCACAGCTGGCCTTATATGTGGATTAAAATTGTGTGTTGAGCTGATGTGAGAATTTTGTTACTGGGGAAAAAATATGTGTCTATAAGTTCATTAAACTGAGAACAGCCTTAAAGCAGAATTTGTATTTTTGTATAGCACAGTGGACTTTCAACTAATACATTTCTAGTGGATTATGYTGAATTGAATATTTGTTTGGTGGGGATTTTTATGTTTGTTGTATGTTTCAGTGCTAATACAAGACATGGATTTTTTTTTCATATGGTGCTATYGGAAGTTGAGCTATATTCTCTAACACATATTCCAGACCAGGTTTTAAGATAAATCTCATCTGCTCAGAGGCTGGCTGCAAAGGTAAATGTTAGAGGGATTCCACTTTTGGACCCTTGCTTCAGAGCAGATCTTGGTTTCCCTAACTTACATAATATTCACATGGTTTTGCAGGGAAATCCACCAATTTAGGAACAATAGGATGTCCCGAACCAAAGAATCATTGAATGGTTTGAGTCTACCAACTTCCCAGGACATGGGAGCTCTTCTGGAAGCTGCTTTTGCAGTCTGAAACCTTTTAGACATCAGGAAGTTCATCTCTAGGAATACAGGATAGAGCTATGACAATCTAAAAATCTTTGTTTCTGCAGCTATCTTTTTGCAGAAATAGGAATTTCCATTAATATGTTTGTTAACATGTGGCAGTATTGTGATTGTTATATGCTTGATACATAGGGATTAACACCTTTCTCACTTGCATTGCCAATTCATTGTGTAAAAGTGGAGAGACAAGAAAAAAAAAAAACATGTATGATTTGTATATGAATTTGAAGAGAGGTGTAYTGCTCTGTTTGTATTTGTGGAAAATAGGCAAGATTATGGACTGTCTCCATAACCACACAATTACTTGTGAATTAAGGAGTGCTTGACTAAATTTTCATTTTCTTAGTAATTTTCTATCATTTCTTATTGCTGTCCTTCAGAGAAACTTCCATATCTCTTAATACAACCTTCATGTTTTGGGTGGGTTTTTGTTTTCCTGTTTTTAAACTGAGATGATATTTTGTATGTCCAAAACAAAGTGTGCAATGACAGTCTGAAGTAGCCCAGGAAGGGCAGTAAATGCTACAGACATTGCAGTTCTTGCTTTTTTGGTTTAAAAAAAAAATTCCTTTTATTTGTTGTTGTCTTGTTTTATTTTTAGTTTTGTTTGTTTGATTGTTTTTTGTTATGTGTTCCTGGGCAAACTGATTGTTGTGTTTCACCTAATCTGAAACCAGTAATTCCCTTAAATTTGAATTTTTCTGTGGCTTTGATGACTGCAAATGCAACACACACCATATTCAATTAGTGTTATGTATGGCAAGGCATAATAGRTATGGCATAAGAAGACACTGGAGATGTACCTTGGCATTCTGACAAAACTGGATTATTTTCAAGAACATTGGAAATGAAATGTACTTTGCTAAATAGCAATTGGGAGAGGAAATATTATTTCAAAGGGAAGAGGATGGCAATCCTAAAACACAGTGTAAATTACCCTCCAAGAAGCTCATCTAACCTCAATTTTTGAGCTAGCATTGTTTCAAAAATGTCTCACTAAGCTCCCTTGATTACATTACACTTGAAGGGAAGGAAGTCCTTAAGGTCCTCAGGGTTGATAATAATATTACTGATGATAGAGATTGTGATTGGATTTTTCTGATTGATATTCCAAGGCATGGTTTTGAATTTTTGTGGAAAAAAACATATAAACTTAAAAACCCAACCAGCCAAACAAACCTCATAACACCCCCTAACCTGAGCCAAACAAAAGTTTATAGAACCGCAGTAGATTTTATTTAAATAAATAAATACAGTAGGTTAAAATGCACTATTTTGTTGCACTAAAGTGCTCCCTATTTGTCAGGGGAGAAGGCTTTGTCTCCTGTCAGTCCTCCTTAAGGACAAAGAGTAGCCAAAATGATATCATGTATATTGCTTAGTTTAGTAGTAATTAAAAGCCTGAGGGGAAAAAAAGACTTTTTTTTTTTTTTTTTTTTTCCAAAATCTATCCCTATACTTCATGGAAAATCCCAGGAAAAGCATCTCATGCCCTTTTACAGGTGAGGCATCTTGCAGGCGTTCACAGTGGACGTTCTGGTGGCCTCAAAATATTAATTCATYTGAAGTGCAGAGGAAAGCTTAATAGTAGCTAACATTAATTTTAAAAGGATATGGAAATTTGAGTCCCAGAGCTTTATCCCTGTTAATGAATGCCCCCTGAAAAAAACGAGAATGCAAACAGAGTAATGTAGCATTGGAAGCAGACTGGGATCTTTTGTGCTCTAGGTCTTTGGACTTTGTATTTCAGTCTCTCAGCACTCAGGACAAGGCAATACTTCTTTGGGGAACCAATTATATAAATATTTGATGCATATTTTTCAGTGACTCTAGTTACAGAAGCATTAATTAGCTAAACCATGTTCTGCTCCTGTATGTTACTTAGATGGGGCCGAAATTTAATATGCAGCTCTTATAAAATTAAAGTTGAACAGGCAAGGCAAGGTTTTCAGTGGTAGTGAAGTGAATGTGATGAAAATATTGGCAAGTTGATTAACTATTTAAGAGGAAATTATATCTCCATTTTAGACAGGATTTTTAAGTAGCCCAGTGGGATTTAGGTGTGATTAAATCAGCATTAAAATAATGATCCATAATAAAAGGTGGCTGAGTAGAATGGCTGTACTGTCAAAGCTTGAAATCCATATTATGAATCCTGTTTTTTTAATGATTATGTTGTGACTTGAATAGAAGAATGGACAGACTCACTCTGTTTATTTTAACCATCATCCACACTCTTAGGGCTCCTCTGTGAGGTACCTTTGTCCAAATGGCTTCCRAGAGATGTAGAGAAAATGAAAAGATGTTAAAAATCACCTATGTTTTATCAATRACATTTACAAATCTGTTGGGCAGCAATGATAAATGTCATCAATTGTCTGCAAATCAGGAAATGGAGTCATCCATATCTTGAATTTCAGATGGAGGTAGAATAGAGCTGTACRTTCTGGTGATATTTATAATGCRATTTGGGCCAGAGRCATCCTAATTTTACATATATTTTTMCATCATGCTRTTTGTAGCAGACTTGTCTGGTAGAAATGGCCAATAGCCCCCTGAATTTGTGTTTTAATTTCTCTGTGTGCTGTGCTGAGTTCTGTCACCTGCTGGGAGAACTACTTCAATTC